TTAACGGCACTCAGTCCGCAGGATCCCAAAAACAGAGCTGGCTCTCAACACAAAGAGCAAAAAAAGACACACACCCACACGTTCACATATTCCTCAGGGATGTGGGTGTGAGCCCTGGTCTACGGTGGGCTAAATATGTCATCTACTACTTAGCTAAGTGGAGCTACAGTCTAGTGAAGATCCTGACATTTGATTACTTTTGAATGAAGTTGCTGAAAAAGAAAATTCTATTAAACATGGGATGAAGACACAAAATGTATATAAATATGAAACATTTCCTAGCGAATTTGAAACGATGCAACTCAAGTCTGAGATTTATATATCTCAAGGAATCTCATTAAAATAAAATTTAAAATGAATAAATACAAAAATTATATTAAGAAAGAACATGTCTTATATAAATAATAGTGATAATATAAATAATGCGAGCAGTTAAATTATACAATAAAAAAATGTAGATAAATTTTATAATAATTAATGAACTAAATTATTCAAAAGTTTTTATATTAAAATAAAATTTTTGATATTGAGTTCAATTATCTTTATGAGATCCTGAAAGAGAAAATTGATATCAATTGTATCTTGAACTGAATCACAACATAATGTTTACCCTTTGCTGTCTCTGTTCCCGTTATTTATGACATTTTTTATTTGTAATTAATTAGGAAATTAAGTACGCATTTAAGTTCAATATGGGTATTTTTAAATTTCGGTTCGGTTTGTGTTCGCTCAAGCATTTTTTATGTGGCAAATGGGATAATGAGCTTTCGGCACTTCGCTCCACAATGTGCAGCAAAGACATTTCTATGGCTACTTTTCCCGTTTTTGTTTTTCCTTTCCCCTAATAGAATATAGATATTTTTTGTAGGTTTTTTTGCAGATTTTCCACCATTGTGCATTGGTGTCCTTTTTTCGTCTTATACTTTGCGTGGGGGCTGCTGCGGCACGCTGCTCTTTATCTATTAAAACGCCTTCCAATTTGCATATTTCTGCAGCTGTAACAGCTGTCAACGCTGGACAGTGATGATGGTGGCTGCGACGGCGACGCCGACGTCGACTGAGCAGTCGGCGCAGGACTTATTGTAACAGCAAAAGAGGAGCAGCTCTTAAGATAATGTACTCCAGCTCTCACAGCCCCAGTCCCAGCAGCAGCAGCAGCAGCAGCAGCAGCAGCAGCAGCAGCGGTGAGTGTGCGAGCAAATTAAAGCTCTCGTATTGGCTGAGTGTAATTTGAAAAAAATATATGTGTACATATACATATATATATACATTATATAAGAAAAGTAAAAATTGTGTGGTCGTTGAGGCGACCAAGAGATATGCTTAAAGCCAACTATTTATGGTCATATATATACTATGATATTGTGATTTAGTAGGCAGAGAAGTAAGGGGAAATACTTTAAAGAGAAGAGCTGTAGATTGAGATAAGACAAGACATTTTTATATACATACTTGAGTATCTTCCTTAAGTGAATGTACTTTAGAGAACTCAGTTAGCCTTCGCCATGTGTTAATGATCTTAAATGTTGAGATTCAGCTGAATTACTCAAGCTAATAAATACTTGGAAGTTTGGTTTTTATTCTCGCATAAGCCACACTTTTCATTTATTTTCGTATATGTCTGTATGCCTGGGTAGTCTGTCCATGGCTATTAATGCGCTACACTGCAAAGCATATTGGCTGCGCGGAGTGGCAGGACTCCCAGTGTACACATGCCATTAAAAATGAATTGTGCAATTTGTTGTAAGTTGCTCTTAATTTGAATGCTAAAAGTGTGCTTGCCTGCGCACATTCCGTGTGTTTACTGTAGGGCATTTGCCTGGGTCCCACTGGCAGAGCAGTCGAGCTGCCACTTGGGCTATTTGATTTCGTTTTATTTCATTTTGTTTCATTTTGTTTTATTGTGTATTTCCTTATTCTTCTTCTCACTGTTTTTTCTCTCTCTCTCTCTCTCTCTCTTCTATTTGGCTTGTTACGCTGTCGCATTACCTACATCAAGTGTCACTTTAAAACGCATTTTTCTTTTGGCACCGCGCCCCCAATCCCGTCTCCGCCCACTCCTTCGCCTGACCCATAGCTTTGAAGTGTTGCTCAAAGCTGTCGGCTGTTGTGCTTATCTAAGGTCTATTGTTCGGTATGCCCGTCGCGGCGCTTGTAAACAATTCCATGCACATTAAGTTCCAATTAAGTAACATTCAAGCCAAATCGCTGCCCGTCGTCGTTGGGCCGTTGTCGCCCGTCTATGGGTAAATTGCGGTTTGTTTGGTTTTCGAATGGCAACAACACGAACAGCAGCAACAGCAACAGCAGCAGCAGCAGCAGATTGCTTTGTTAATATTAATTTGTCATTAATTTCAACGACATCAGCTTACAAGCAGCTCGTTTAAAATGCATTGATAAGCCAAGTGGCCCGGCTGCTAGCCGCTTTCCTATACCAATCCACACACACACACACACTAACACAGCCATCAGATAAATTTAATGCGCTTTAAACTGTTTGGCTACTGCTTGAGGGCTGTCTTTGTGAGTGCTGTGCAGCAGCAGCCGCAGGAGCAGGAGCAGCAGCTCCTTGGTCAAGTCCTTTCAGAAAACTAAACACAACTGTTGCTTGCGCATTTGCACGCTGAAAGGGTGCGAGGTTTCTGGTTGCGGCCTGACCGCGGCCATTTGCTTCACATCTTAGCCTGTGTCTATCTGCCCATCAGTTGAGGACCAATCTGTTTTAATACCCTGCACGCTCGTTTCAAAGGGTCGCTTGCCGTCGGCAACGAATCTGGGCAGGCACATTGTGAGCGCTCTTTGAGATGCCACAAATTACGTGATATATCGCAGGCGATACACAAGACGTCGATGCGTCTTTGTCGGGCCCCGTCTTGGCTCTGTCAATGGATAAACTCTTGATGTGTTCTTAGCCTCTATTTTGTTGTTGTTAGTATCCAGCATTGTAAACATTGACAGGCTTAAATCTCTCCACTGTCGATGCTTTTTATTTGTAGCTACTTTTTGTGGAGAATTTCACAAACAGTCGAAACCCCACACAGACCGCAGAGCGTAAGAATAAAATGATGCTTATATTACCTGGCAACGCGGCAGCCATTCAGTTGGCCAGCTTAGTTTTGCCCCGGCTTTCAGCAGTCTGTATAGGCTTTCAATGCTTGCTGGCCAGCGTCAAGCGCGTAAAAGGTAAATGCAGTCCACTTTCAATGAAGCCGCAGCAGAAATAGCAGCAGCAGCAGCAGCAGCTGTAGCTAAAAGCTGAAAGGGCACACACTCTGTTGCCTTTTCAACAGAGAAAATAAAAAAGTGCAAAAATAAAAACAGGTGTTATCTGATTGCTATTTTAAACACAGCTGACGGCTGAGAGCAGCTAAACAAATACGTGCAACATAAAAAATTAAATCACATGCATACGCTATTCACTCCATATTCAACTGGTTTGCACGCTCAAAGAGGTATTCAACCAAAAAAAAAAAAAAAAAAAAGACTACTAACAGAGTTGGGCGTGCTAGACTAGGAGATACCCTTAATACTGTGAAGAACTAGAATGAAATTTAAAGTAAAGATAAAAAGCCGTACAGACAGAAAGTCAGGCGGATAGAAGGAACGGACAGACAGACAGATTAGGCACGGGTTTGGTTTGGTTTGGACGAATTGACAGATGGTCAGAGGAATGGATGAACGGAAGAACGATTGGCAGATGGATGGATAGACGGACGGACAGACAGGCTGATTGATGAGTGGCTGCACGAAGCAATAGACGACGAACGGGCTAACCAGCGGAGGAGTGATGGAAGGAGCGCCGTTTGATCGCATAGATGGATAGAAGAGCAAGGCTAGGCTGACTTGGCTCGTCGTTCTGATCAGCACAAATATACTTTCAAAGAATATATATACCCCCTACAAGCCGAGGGCTTCCAATGCCAGTGCCTAATATTTAATTTTATTTTTATTTGTAATTTTACATTAATTCTAAGCCCTAATAAGTAAATAAATAAATATACACCTTCCCCTGTTACATATGCAATTTCAAGCCATTCTACCCCGCCTTCGCAGTTCGCATGGGCACAGGGTATGCAAGCTCCATAGAAAATATTTGCAATTGCAAGCGGCTTAGAGGATAGAGACATACATACACCATTTAAGTAGTTGGTCAGATTCTGAAAGCAGCTAGTTGCAAGTTGCAACATTCAAGTAATATTAATATTTTTTCCTTGGCTACGGAAGTATTTATTAACAATGCATAATTTATGGCTGTGGATTGACAGCAAAATTGCATAATTAAAAGTTCTTTTACAATTCTTGAGCAAGAGCATTCGAGTTTTGTGAATGCCCAGGTTTCTCTTTAGTCTACACTTCCTTTTGCAATTGGTCTGTCGCTTTGAGCAAGTTTGTTTGCTTTAAGCTGTGCAGGAGTTGGACTCGGAATGTGAGCTGGTGCAGCGGTGCGTATGAGCAATGCAACTTGTTTAAAGTCACACTAATTAAATGCCACTATAGAACTTGGACTTCGGACTTGGATAATGACGCTACACTGCGCTCTCTGTGTGTGTGTGTATGTGTGTGTGTGTGCGTCGTCCTGTCCTGCTGACACAGTGCTCTGTCGCAGTATCGGTAATTAAAATCTAAAAAGGATACAGTTCTTCCTGTCGCGCGCACCCCGCCCACACCCCGAGTCGCCCGCCGGCACTCAGTACTATTTGCTTAAGCTGCAGTTATCGCCAGCTGTGCACGCCGCACAGCCAGTGGGCGTGTGCCACAAGTGAGTGCACTTGTTAACGTCGGGCTAAGCAAATAATGAGGTGAGCCATACGAGCTTTTAATGAATGAAAGCGGTAATCGTTTTGAGTCGCAGTGTATTTAAGCGTATCAAAGGACCATGAAGACATGCAACGCCGGACTCGTTCGCGTTTAGCTATTAAGATAAATAAATCCGTACTCAATTTTCTCACACAAAACGTAAATATGTATTTCGCTTAAGAGTTTCATATGGAGCATGCTGCTCAAATGCCATAGCCATAACCATAAGGACGACCATAATAACCGCCGCTGTATATACTGCCATAGGAATTATAGGGATAACGCATGCCATATCCACCATATCCACCATAGCCACCGTATCCACCATAGCCACCGTAGCCTAATCCTCCATATCCGCCATAACCGCCATATCCCAGTCCACCATATCCCAATCCACCATAACCGCCATATCCTATGCCTCCAATGCCGCCAATGCCTCCAATGCCTCCAATGCCGCCAATACCGCCAATGCCTCCAATACCTCCACCATAGCCACCCAATCCATAGCCGCCATAGTATGACGGATAGCCTCCATAGCCAATTTGTCTCTCTACGCGTTGTCCGCCGGCCGCTGGCTGTGCCTCCGGCTGTGCCGCATCCTGCTGCTGCTTCGGGCTTTGGCCAACTGTTGCGTCCAATTGGCAGGCAACGATTAGCAGCAGCGCATATAATCCGAATATGGCGCCGTTCCGCATAATGTCCGGTGTTCCTTAAGCTGTTTAACTGGCGAACTGCTTCAACTTGTGCTTATTTGGTATGTGGTGTGGCGGCAGCCGTGTTGACCCGTGTGGTTTGTATGTCGCTGGTGGAGACAACTGTGGCCCGGCCAGCGAATGTTTTCGACCATTTATAGCCTTAGAACTTTGCGCATAAAATATAAACTTTTGTTTCATTTATTTTTTTTTTGCTTGGGCGCTTGTTAGCGAAATGAGACGCTAATGTAAACGTCATAAAACAAACTATTTAAATATGCGATTGCGGCACAAAATGGAACAAAAAGCCAATTCATATAGCTACCAGTTGGCAGTTGCCCGGCGCCCGTTGCCCGTTACCAGTTGGCAACACCATTAAGTCGCACGCTAAGTGGCGTTCATGAAATCGAATGGCTCAGTGGATGTTTAAAGAGCAAAACATTTCACTTTGCGGTAGATGGCGGTGGCGGTGGATGGTGGTGCTGGTAGTGGTGGCACGCCCAGGTACGTTCAACTTTTGCTGCCACCTGCTGGCCCAACGCTTAACCAGTGCTTGCGGTCAGGTAAGCTGTGCAAATGTGCTAATTTCATTTGAAGGTTAGTTATGCTATTGACCAGGCCAAGACCTCTCCGGGCCGTACCGCACAATGCTCGCCGCACGCACACGTCATAAGCCTCAACTTTTGGTGCGTAAGTGTAAATTGCTGTTTGTTGTTGTTTGTTTGTTGTTGTTGTTTGCTGGTGTTGGCTTTGCTGTTATTGTAGGTGTTGTTGCTGTTTGTTTGCCTATTTGCCAGCCTGTTTGTTCGCATGTTTGTTTTTGTTTGGCTAGCTGTTTGTTTTATGCGCGGCCTGGCCATTAACAATACTCGATGGCTCAATGCCTCTGTGCAGCTTTGCGGCTTGCCGCATGTGCCACGATTTTTAGTTGTTTTTTATTATTATTTATATATTCTTGTTTTATAGAACATTCCATAGAGCCTTAGCTAAATCCACGGACAGAGATAAATAAATAGCAATGGCCAAGCTGCCATCAGCTCCATATTTATTCATTTATGCAAAATGATCGCGTCATGGTTGAGAAATAGTTTGTCCAGAGTGTCGTTGTTTAATTTGCTTATTCAAATTTAAACGTTTTATGCCAGTTAAAAAACTGGGTCAATTAACGACGCGTCGTCCACAGCCAAAGCTGCCGCACAATGTGATGTGCGGTCCACTGACAGTCCGGAGAACTATCGCACTTAAAATTTGGACTAGACTCGTCACGAACTGGCATCATCTCCGTCCCCATCGTCCGGCTGCATAAATTAGCGCTTGGGCAAAACAATAAGCCAGTTCGGATTAAAATTGCATTAATGGGAGCTAAATGTGCGAAGAGAAGCACACATTCCAGAGAGATTTGGATAGAAGGAGAGCAGGATGAGAGCGAGAGAGAGAGATAGAGAGAGAGAGTTAGATAGAGAGTGGGAGAGAGAGGGAGCGAGACAGACAAATAGAGAGAGAGAGAGAGAGAGAGAGAGAGAGGGAGAGAGAGAGAAAGAATGAGAGAGAGAGGGAGAGAAAGAGGGGGAGAAATAATCAGAGAGAGAATGAAATGATAGAGCCGGCGGTGCAGAGAGTATCAGAAACAGGGCAGAGGCGGGAAAGATGGTAAGACTTAGAGCTAAGAGATACATCTGTGAGAAAGGAAGGGAAGATAGAAAGAGAGGTACTGAGAATCATGGAGAGAGAGAAGAAAGAGAAGAAAGAAGAAAGAGAAAGAAAGATGCAGGATTTGGGACTAAAAGAGGGAAATATAGAGAGCTCTAGAAAATAAGAATTTTGGAGAGATATTGAGAAAGATAAAGGGATTTAGAATGAGTGGCGACAAGTGGAAGAGTTGAGGGGATGCGCAAGAAAAGAATTTGAATATAGAAAGATAAAGCAGAGATAAAGAAGGAGCTGGAAGAGAGGAAGAAAGATAAAGACCGAAAAGATAGCAGAAGAGAGAAAGAGACTGATTGATTGAAAAAAATTATTTAAGAGTCATCTCCAGTAAAATGTATTTAATTCATCGTGTTCGATTTAATATATTCATGTAGTCTTGGTCTCAAGCGTAACTTATTTTGTTTTAACTGCGTTTATATGTACATATTTGTTTATAGTCTATTCTTATATGAATGAAGATTTTTTCAATGTCTTTTGTGTCAATTAAAAGTTAACACATTTCAAATTCATAAGAAAGTCTCCATAATGACTGGGGCTGGCGAGCCTTGGTAAAACCGTATACTTTTCCAACTCAGGTATTTAAAATGCAACTTTAATTGATATTTTGGCATTAAGTTCTGGAAAGTAATTACTTTCGTAGAAGTTTCGCAGCTTAGACATTTGAATTTCTGTCTCGTAGCCACTTGACCAGCTGCCCTGAGTGTATTGCGTATGGGGGCAACTTAACTGGGCTTGTCTAGTTGCCTAATAAGTTTCCGTTATTATTATAGGGCAAGCGATTGCTGTTGTTGCCGTTGTTGCCGTTGTTGTTCACGCTTAGCCAGACAGTTAATATAAAATGCTCGACTCGGAGTATACATTTCATTTGGGAGTTACTGCAGCGCTTATGGCCGGGCAAAACTTCGGGTAGCCCGAGCCCGAGCCCAGGCCCAAGCCCGAGCCAAACCACTTCTAGTTTTATGGCCCCGGCTATCGTTTAGCTAGACTGTTGGTGAATTCATATAAATTGGTTTGGCCATGAAGCTGTGATCCTGTGAGGGCAGCCTCAAACTTTCTATTGCTATTCGAGTTTGGCATAGAAGCCGTGCTCAGATTGCCCGTAGTTGGCCAATGAAAATTACTAAATTATATTTCGGTTCGACTTAAAGTTTAGTTTCGGCTTAACTTACTCTTCTTAATTATAGAGTTTATTTATGGCTTAGCTCAAAACATATTTGTAATCAAAGCCTTTTAAGTACACATATATGTAATGTATATAAACTGCCGCTATTTATATAACAAATAAATGGATTGCGCCTTATCTGGAACGTTTTACTCTCTTAAATTGCCACCGTTTGACGTCCGTCGATAAAGATTAAATGGTTGCTGTTAAATTTCGCTTTTGACAAGCGGATTTTATTGTTAAAAAATTAACTCGGCTTTAAATTTACGCCTTTTGTTATCCCTTGACCTTAGCGTGGTCGCTACGCACACACACACCCACACGCCGACGCACACACATACTTAAACACGCCCCCGCCCGCAATTTATAAAAGTTTTGTTCAAAACTCTATGTGCGCTGTGCCCGGGCATAAAGGAAAAATGTCTTTATATTGAGGCTGGAGCTACTGAGGGCAGGCATTTCATTGCATACCCTTACGCTGCTTACCCTTGCCCTTACCCCTACAGATGCCGCTGCGATGCTACGCAGCTACGGCAAACATTTTCCGAAAGTTTTCGCAAAGAATAAATGTTTGATATACAGTTAAAAAGGATGTAACGGAAAAAATTGTTTATATATTCGGGAGCGACATTAAAAGTTGATAGCAAACAAGACTCTATATGTAAATAGCTGGCCATGGGCGTTGGAGCATGAAAGCGGCTTGACTTGACTTCACTTGCCCTGCGTAGCATCTTATCAGGGGCGTGTCTCAATAAATCTACACCACCTTGATGATGGGCCATGCTCGCATCGAGCCAAGCTCGCAGCTGGCAGCTGGCAGCTGGCAAAAGCCATGCTAACTGATTATCCTTGTTGTCCGATAGAAGCTATAGCAGCAGCCGCAGCAGGAGGAGTAAAAGCAGGAGAAGGAGCAGGAGCAGAAGCAGAAGCAGCCGCAGCAGCAGCTGATTGATTTGTTATTGAAAATATTAGGCCTCTTTCGAAACTGGAATCGATTTCGGCAACGGCAAAGGCAATGGCAAAGGGGATAAGGCAGGGCGAGATGGCTGCGGTGCCGAAACGTGCTGTTGGATACGCTTGAAACTTTTATAACTTTATGAGGGCGTTGTAATTTGATATCGCAAAGTTTTTTATTGCCTTTTATAGGCTTATAATTTGGCCGCGATGCTGTTTCTGTTTGCCGCTATATAGCTATATAGCTGCCATTGTTGTGGCAGCAGCAGAAGTGGGATCCGCTTGGCAGTTGCCCACAGGGCGTATGCTTGTTATGGCAGCTCTTTGTTTACACGTTATTTATGGCTTATAAATACGAGTACGCCTGTTTGTAAGCATGTATCATTTGCGTTAGAGTTGGGTGGCGTGGGAATGAGGAATGGAGGAGGGGGGCACTCGAGGCATTGGCTTTCCAAATTGTAAACAACTTACATGTGAAGTGTGCACACGAAATCTCTTAATGAGCATTAGAATCGGCATAATGCTGACGATGAAATTGCGTATACGTATAATTGGATTAGTGGTCTATGTACTTGGCTTGGCATTGTTGTGCTTCGACGACATAATTAGCCAGCCACTGAGCTCGGGAGCTCAGGTTCATTCTGCCACGAAGCGAACAAACAACAGCAAAACAGTTAAAGAAGCAGTTGGGCTCAGTACTCAGTACGCGCTGGCGGCACTTTAAGGGGATTTTTCTTGGCCATTTGATAATGCTCAGGAAATTTAATTGCTCGAAAGGGTCAGCCGCTCGTTAAGAATTAACAGGCATGCCAAGCACCAGCAGCAGCCCCCTCTATACATATATAAAGAGTCGAGTCGAGTGCTTGTTACATTTTAGTATTGCAGAGAGTCGGTGCCCTATAGCGAGGGTGCAATGCGTGTTATTCATTTATATCTAATAGTGCTGAGTGCTCTGCTGACCCTGCTGGCAGTGGGCGCTGCTGCTGCTGCTGCTCCAGCAGCGGAAATGAAGCAACTGTTGTTGGCGGATGTAAATCAGGCAGCGGATCAGCAGGAGATGCCGGCTTTGCGCTTGGCCAGGCAGTTAGGCAACATCGGACGCTTTGGACGTTTCGGCGGTGCTCGGTTTGCTGGCGGAGGCGGCCGACGATTTGGAGGCGGCAGATTACCTTTCGGATAC